AATGAAAGGGTTTCAAAGTCACATCAAAGCTAAATCTCACTCTGTAACAGCCTCAGGTCATTGCTGAGTTTTGTGCCAAACCAAGCTGGGTTTTGTGAGGAGCCCCATGTGCTCTGCCCCATGATGGGTGTGTGGCTCCGAGCACCAGCTAAAAGCAAAGAGCAAGAATTGTTTCCCTAAAGCCAGGAGGAGCTTCCTCATCTTCCCCAGCAGGGACTGGGCTCAGGCTGGAGGTGCTGGAAGGTTTCCCCAGCCTGTCCATGCTGCTGAGAATTAATGGGGCTCTTCCTTTCACTCAATTACTGGCTATCCACCTGTGAAGCTGTAAAGGGTAGAACAGTAAATCTTACAATCAAATATTAAATTATACCTAATTTATTTGCTTATGGCAAACTGTAAGCTCTGCAATCAGATGTGTAAGGGGTTATGTCACAAGCTCTCCTGAGAGTCAGGGGACGTGCCTGGAAGTGCACTGGGGAGGCTGCTGAGCCACAGGGGACACGGGCAGGGATTGACCACTGTAAACCTGGGGTGTCCCAGTCCCAGAGACCCCAGGGCAGCCCCTCAGGCAGCCCTCGGCCTGGGCTCAGGGCTGCCTGCTCCCTGACTGTGGTAAATGTCTCTCCAACCTCAAAACATAGCTTTGCATACTTTTACTGTAGCTAAAACATTCAGTATTTAGGAAGAAGTTTATTGTTTGAATCAGGACAAAACCAGCACGTGCTTGGCAGCACTTTCTGCATAATATATTAAAGATTTTCTACTTGTGTATAAAATCCTTCAAGTCACCTGGAATTTTTCCATGGACAGCACTCTGCTCAAGGTTTCAATTTGCCTTAGAGTTGTACATTTGTCCTTGTTGTCTCTGGCAGCCTGTGCTGCCATCCTGCAAACTGGCTCAGAAAATGGTACCAGGGTGAGGGTGCAAATCAGAACCTCACAGAACAAAAGGATCTGATGTCTCCCAAGCAGATTTCTAAATGAAAAATTGTGTTTCATACTTTACCGTTCTGGAAGAGGAGAAAAAAACTGTCTGGATTGGAATATTTTCAGCATTTGGGATGGCAGGTGAATTTTAAACAGAGCCCAGCTGGAATACGGCCAGTCTGGGAAGCACAATGTGGCAGTTTTCTCTTCCCTTTGCATTATGGTCCAAGCAGAAACAACAGCATGTGGAGAAGGTACTTTTAGTCAGATTTTCCCTAATTCCTTGAGACATTAAAGCATCTCTACTTTGCAAAGACAGTGGAAATCCACTTTTTCATGGGCACGAGCACTTTATAAACGGAGTGCTGCGGGAGAGCTTTCGCAGAACTGCCTGCTACCCTGGGAATTCCCTTTCCCGGAGTGCTGAGTCCCGGCCCCCAGGGCCGATTCCAGCGTGATCCGGGGCCGGGAGGATCCGGGGGGAGCGGGCAGGGCTCCGCAGGAGCAGCACAGCAGAACCGCTGCTCGCTGTTCCCAGGCGGCTGTTTTGGGAAATGATGCAGCAGAATGAATCAGTGACCCTGCCCAGGCCCGGGGCAGCGCTCAGTCACCGCAAGGAGCGGATTTTCCGCGGGGGAGGACGCGGGACACGGAGCAGCAGCAGGATGAGTGTCCCGGGAGGGGATGGGGATGGGGATGGGGATGGGGATGGGGATGGGGATGGGG